GGCGGAAGTTTACTAAATCTTTCTATTCAACTTTTCTTTATCACTAAACTATCAATTACTTTCTTTTCATTAATGTATTCTTCCAATCTGAAGATAAATCAGATAAATAAAAAAAATATGAAAGAAGACAATACATCATCTTAATTTTAATGTAGATATTTACTTCTTTACCTAATGCTTATTTTGTTGTTGCTTACTAATTTTTGTATTATCTTCTTTAAGATTGCTTCTAGAGTCATAGGCATATTTAAAAAAAAAAACTAGATTTATTAATTCAATTAAACGACTAAAATTTTCTAACAGCCCAACAACTGTTAATATTCATTCCTTTTAGAATTAAGACGACGATTTTAATTCTAAAAATAGACCCCAGGGTGACAGGTGCCTAAAAAGTCTTCTAATGTGTACAAAAAAATATAATAAGGAAATAATCGCTAAAATTGCTGACATCTAAATAGAAAACACCATAAAAAGAAAACTAAATCTGTCAACCGAATAAGAAAATAATCATTATTCTTGTTTGTACACCCGTCTTTTTTTACCTAAAAACTGTCTGAATGGAATATATTATAAAGAGCGTTATTAGTTCTTAAACATGTGTGAACCAAATGGGTTTCCTCCGTCTCTGTCAGCTTGTCGGCCTTTTTGTCCCTCCTCTTTGTTTTATTCAAAGCATTTCGGTTCGCAGTTGACACTTGTTTCTTTACATGATGTCCGATTGTTGATGTGTTATTTCGAAAAATATTTCGCCTATTTTAAGAAAAAGAAAAATCAACATTCTCAGTTTAGGCAGAAGCGTACCTACATATTTTCAGGATTAATTATTATTAAGGAGCTATATAAGCTGTAAACTTTCTTTTGTTAATAAATAAGGTCATATAACTCAGGTCTGCAACCAAAAACCTGCGTAGGATTTTTTGATTGTTTTTCCATCATATCAGATTTTCTTCCACCTGAAAAGGTCATATTAAATTAGGGCTTATGAAGCAGTTTATTGAATCACTGTCTAGATCGGAATGCTTTATATACGGGGGTGATACAAGATAAATATACAGGAAGTATTAGAAAAATTACTTCGATCTTCGTTATTAATGGTCCGATTGAAATGAAACAAACAGAATTAAACTTAAAATGTCATGGATAACTAAAAATATACGTGACAACATTGTAGAAAGGGCATAAACGTATATCTTCGTTATTATTAGTCCGATTCGAATAAGAAAAACGCAGCGTTATTCAAAAGGCCATGACTAAAATACATAGGTACGTGATAACATTGCCAAAAGGGCGATAAATCATATATTCGTTGTTATTCATCCGACTTGAACGGGGAAAACGTTATATTATTCAAAATGTCATTCATAAACGAAAAACATACGTGGACACATCGCCAAAAGTAGTGATGCCTCGTCTCGTCTCGAACGAGACGAGAGAGACATTTTCTCTCGAAAACAGATTCGAGACGAGAGAGTGTCATCTCTCGACGAGAATTTATCGTTTCTCCCGAGCTCTCTCAGGCTCTCTCGAACAATTTTCTTTTTGCTTATTTTAAATTTTCAATTGCTTATCATAACTTAAAATTTTAACATATTAGATTTCGAGATAGTCAAAAACTTAGTTATAACACACCTATTCTATAACACACCTATTTTATAACACACCTATTCTATAACACACCTATTCTATAACACACCTATTCTATAACACACCTATTCTATAACACACCTATTCTATAACACACCTATTCTATAACACACCTATTCTATATATATTAAATGGTAACAAATGATACTTGTGTTATTAGAATTTTATAAATAGAGATTTATAAGAAAAAATATTTCTCATTTCATTTATTTAAAATTTATACAATCATTTCTGTTCTATTTAATCCATTCTGCTTTTTTGAGGTTACTTTTGAAGATAAGTTGAAAATTTTTAAGCGTTTTTTCGAAAAACTGTCAAAGAAAAGGTAATACAAACGAATGTATTATATACAGTGAGGACGAAAATTGTACCCTCCTCTATTTTAACGTCTAAATGAAAAAAGATAATGACAAAAAAAAACGAAGTAAAACTCAAGAGATATTATATTTTTGTTATAACGAGATGCACTTTACTTGAGACACGTAAGATAGAGGGAGATACTAGCTTTAAATTTTCTAATGGAAAGTAGGGTCATGTCATACCTTATTTGAAAGATATTTTCTATATTTTTACGTTCATGTAAACAGATTTAGGTTTTTACAGAAATTACATTAAATAAATTCATAAAGTAGGTTAAATCCTTTTTTGTTATTTACCGCTTCAACCTCAAAGGATCATTACAATAGTATACAATGGATAATTAACATTTCGCCTAGTACAGAGTAAATGTCAGTTTCTTTTATAAATTTAAGTAATATTTTACTGTTAGAGGGATTTAACACTGCACAAATGGCAATTTTTTGTAGCTGGTACTTTGTTCTTATACAGACATGTTCTGGGCCTTTACTAATAAGTTACATTCTTGATAACTCTCGTATTAACAATTATTGTTTATTACTAAGAAAACACTTCTTGTATTTACTATAATAAATAAATTAAGAATATCAAAGGTGATTTAAAAACCACTTGACGTATTAAATTTTTCATTACTTTTTGGCAAAAAAAAGCTTATTAAAAAATTATCTTCTAACATTATCTAACATTTCTTGGATTATTGCGGCACACGAGGATTATCAGGAATGTAATTTTTGTTAAAACAAAAAAAAAATAAAACTGTGCTTGGACGTAAATATAATCAAAATATGTTTCAAATGAGGTATTACATGACTTTACTTTCCATTAGAAAATTTTGATTTTAACGAGGATAACGCTACATCATTTGAAATTTTATATAGATGTCATTTTTAATGTAAAAATCGTATAGTAATATTGCCAAAAGGACATAATCGTATATCTTCGTTATTATTGGTCCAATTTAAACGAAGAAAACACTGCATCATTCGAAAGGTTGTATAGATGTCATAAACGTGGTAACATTACCAAAAAGGATACAATCGTATATATTCATAATTATTCATCCGATTCGAACTCTAAAAGGTCTCAGCGGCTACAGCATCGAATAATGCCAACATTTACAAGAGAAATTATTAATATCAGGCTGTTGCATTAACATAACCCTACTTAATTTACTACAGCTTCATATTTACAATTTTAAACTTGAAATAAAAATATAGCCTTAATATCAATCTAAAAACTATTAAAATAAAATGGTCCAAAAACTACGATGGTTATTATTCACTAAAAATTAATAACAACAATTTAAACCTGGAAAAATAAATATATTTTCTCTAAAAATCAGAATATTGTGACGTTTATTTATTTTAAACAGTTTATTTAATTTATTTACAATAATCTATTTTATAACTTTATATATTAATTTATATCACTACTTATCTAATTTATATTAAGAATAATAATATACACATATCGATATCTAAACTTGAACTCACTCAAATGGCAAACAATCTTATTTATATACAAAAAGTGGCACTTCTAGAGTGTTCTAGAAAACTTTAAAGAATTGGCTGCATCGCTTAGAATATACATCGACGAATCCATAATTTTATAGACTGGTGTATCCACCAAAATCTGTGTCTTTAGGAGCTTCTCGTCATTCTAGAACAATCTGGAACGTCGACCGACAGTATCCATATGCGTATCAATAGGGTCTCGGAGGTGAGTTATTTCATTGAGTATTCTTAGTAAAAAGTGGAAAAAAGAGCATGACCGGACTGGTTGAAAATGGCTCGCACGACAATATAAAAAATATGGAAAACTTTTATGTATATAATATATAATGTAGGTATATAAAACTATGTTTTTCAGTAGTTTCATGTCAAAAACAGATGCTGCTACGATCTCAGTTTCTGATCCCAATATACATTGTGTCCGTAAAGTATGGAATAAATTCGATATTTTCTAAACTTTGATTTTTAATGTTTAACTTTTGCGGGTATTGTGTGATGCTGGGGTTTTCTTTTGTCCAGTATCTACAATTCTGAGGGTTGATCTCGCTATTTAATGTTAAAGTGGCCTCATCAGAAAAAATAATATCTTGTACTAAGAGAGGGTTTCGGTGGCAGTTATCCATCATTACTTCGCAAAATTTTATTCTTCTATCTGGATAATCTTCGTTTAATTCCTGTACAAGTTTGATTTTATAGGGATGCCATTTTTCAAGTTTTATTAGTTTATGTACCGTTGTTTTGGTAACATCGAGATCACGACTAACCTGACAAACAGAAGTGTGCGCATCTTCTTCAAAAGTAAGTAGAACATCTAATGATTTATCATAATTTACAGAGGGACGACGTGATTTGAGTGCATTTTCAACCGTACGAGTACTAGTTGGCTACTTTTTTCAAATTGATAAGAAATAATTTATTTTCTAAACGCATATCTTTTAAATTCTCCAAGTATCATACCTTTTTGGAATCAGCTGTTTTCTCTAGAACTAAAAATGTCACAAAATACAAGGTGTTACATTTAAAAAAATTGCCGATGACGTCATCACCTTAATGTGTATCACCCTGTATAATAAAATTTTCTTGTAAAATGTAGAACATTAAAATTAAAAATCGACGAATTTCAGATTTTTCTGACAAAGCTTTTAGTTTAGGAAATATCGAATTTATTCCATACTTTACGGACATACTGTTTATTGGGTGTGTTATATTTGTCACCCAAGAACAGGACACGAAAAAAGATACTGCAAGGTAGGATGCGCTTTTTCCCAATAAAACAAAAAGGTTTACGAAAATTGTTTATAAAAGAACGAAACATTACCAGCACTTATAAGTCATGGTTTGATTATTGTATTCCAAAATAATTTAATGTCATTTTCATTCCAACTTAGACTATTTTCGTCCAGTTTTCGGTTGAATTAAAATACATCTACCCATTAAAAGGGTCAATATCTTAATTAACGACGATACTTAATTAATATTTTTTTGCAGACTAATTTCTGACACGGCGTGCAGTCCCCAAAGCGGCCACTCTTCTTCAACATGTGATTCTCCGCCACCCGTAACCACGTCTACCGTCATACACACTACACCCGATCCACTTTCATCGTCACCATCAACGAGTATCCCCACGGCGAATTTCACCCCGGCCTGGTCTTTATTGGACATCCAAGGTTAGTAGCGTTTCAAGAAATATAGAGCGCCAATACCCAGCTATCCCTATTTGAAATTTGAACATTAAGAGAATAAATTCGCAGGTCGACAAGAATAGCACGATGGACAGAACGATTCATGTCGCATTGCCAAATTTATTAGTCTTGACTTACATAAAATATTAAAATAGTAAATACACAATTAATGATTTTCTATTATACCTATGAATTGTCATACGTAATTAGTAAAATACTTATTTGATTTTAATTAGGGATAGACAATTCTGGTTAAAAAAGATTAACAGGTACAACTCGCCGCGGAAACGGCTATAAGATCTACACCGTATTTATTTAAATCTTGTGTGGGACTGTTTGGAAGCCCTAACAGAGCTGAGTAGTTAAAACAGACACAAAACAGACCGCAGCCTGGGTAACAGGCCACAGAGGACAAGGGCGACGAACAGACTCATTTACTATTCCGAGAACGAGCCTCAAAGGCTCTAATTGGCCCAGACCCCTTCTGTGGTGTTACAAACGCAGGTATCAAAACATGAACAAAGCAGTGGATGTTTAAAAAATCTCAGGAATGGTGGAAAAATTCACTAGATAGAGACAAGCCAAAGAGTTATTAAAAGGACCATCGCCAAAGATTCACGAAGCCTTAATATGAAACTTACTCGAGTACTAGTAGGCCTATTAACAGGGCATTGTAGGCTTAACAAACATATGTATAAGATCGGTCTGGCAGAAGAGATCTAGTGCTGTTTCAGCCAGGAAGAGGAGCAAACTGCAGTACACGTTTTGTGCTACTTTGAAGGTCTATCAAGACTGAGATTCCTTACACTTGAAAAAGAAAAACTAAGGACTACGCTACGCTGGAGAACTACTTCCTAGTATATGGACAACTAAACAACGATTAAATAATATCCACAATAGATTTGAAAAGGTCGAAGTGGGGGAGGTCACATACCCCACAGCCCTAATTAAATCTAATCTAAGTAAATTTAATTTGGCAGCATTGTTGAAAGTACCTAAGCTGTTCCGGTTTGACCGGTGTTTATTTAATTCAATTATAATAAAACAAAAGATTACGTGAAATTCTACTTCGACTCAGCGATAAAAAATAGGAAAATATAAACGTATCACTCACTAAGTCGTTTTCTCTACTGATCCTTTTCTTGGCTTCGTGCTATCGTGCTTGTACAAAATCAAAGCCAACACTTTTGCGCTTCCGCACGTCTTTCTCTCCGCGAAGAACAGTGTTTTGTTCTTTTCTCAACAAAAGACGATATCTACGGTGCAGCTTTATGTAATAACATACTATGATTTAAAATATATTATTATTATTCCTGGTTAGATATTTATTGATATTATTGCAGTACTATAAGAAAGCTTTGTCTAAGAAGTTATAAATAGGATCGTGTAGCATTTCACTGTGCACTGGTTCAGTAAGAAAGAATAACAGAAAACATATTTTTACCTGATCTTTATTATTAGTAAGAACATTAGTAAATTTGCAAAACACACTTTTACACGCTTGACTTTTTTTATTAAATAAAATGCAATTGTTTTTAAATTTTTAAAATTCAAACAATATTTTGCACACCGTCCCTGTTCGATCCATTGGTGTTAAACTCACACATTCAAAAAAATGCATATTATTTATTCAGTAAATAACTCATCTTGCTCTACCCACGAATTCAAGAAGTGCATATTACCCATCCTGCAAATAGCAATTTCATACAGCCCTAGATATATTACAAACTACCAAAGGTCCGTATCCACCAGCAAGAAAAGCAATCACACCACATTTCTTTTATATCTTTTATCTCGTATGTTACAGTATTGTCTCGCTCCCTCTCACTGAAGTTAAAAATATTTCAACAGAATTTTATTCCAGCTGAGACTAGAGAACGTTAATAAGCCACGTCCACTCACACAAAAATTAACTAAAAAAATCGCCGCTTGCCTCGCCCCAGTTTTAATCGTTAAACAGAGTAGATGTCTCGGAGTCGACCTCTCGTTAAACACTACCTTCGAACACACACACACACACACAGTAATTGAGCCCAAGTCGAGAAGGTTGTCATCCTGTTAAACTGGATTAGAACCCTCCTGACGACCACCACCCCCCCCTGATAAACTTCGCTTCAGGGGGCCTCAATTTTCCATCCTATGATTGGTATGCCATTCCTTCTAAAAGGGCTGTAAAGGATGACATATCAGCATTTAGACAGGGTTTACTGAGGGTATTTCCCTGTTTCGTCGTCCGTTTGTTTGTCATGTGTGTGCCGTTCTGTGAAAGCTCCCCCAGTCTCCTACTTGGCGACTGGAGGGACCTTCTCCCCCAGGTGGTTAGTCGTCAGTTGCTCAGTCCTTGTCTGAATCGCGTGATGCGCTCTGTCGGGTATTCTGAAAGAGAATGCTAAAAGAGAACGCTGAAAGAAAATCTTAAATCTATGAGACTCTTGAATTTTACACCCAAGGGTCGGTCACTCGCCGCCATAGTCCAGCACCTTGCGTGGTCTGGCGTGTCTTCTATAATCCGCTCTTTCGTACTCTGTGAGTTCTCTTATCCTCTATATTCGGGTGAGTTCTTAGTTTTTCGAAGGTGTCTGTGGCCTTCTTGTGTATGAGGTCTAGGACCCTTTTGGATTCTAGATCCCTCCTGATAACGTCGTTTCGAGTGTATCTGTATGCGTTTGAGGCCCATCTTAAGCTGATGTTCTGCTGGCTTTGGATCTTCTTTCTGTTTGTTCTACAGGTGTATCCCCATGCCGTCGATGCGTACATGAGGATAGGTATAATGACAGCCTGTATGAGCCTCATTTTGGTCTGTAATAATAGTTTACTTTTACGTCCTATTAGGCAGTTTAGTCTTGATCTTGCTTGCTTTGTTTTCTTGACTACCATGTCCACGTGTTTTGTGAAGGTGAGTACTTTGTCCATGATTACTCCTAGGTACCTGGCTGAGTCGGTCCATGGGATGTCCTGTCCATTCATCGTTACTTCTTCTCCTGGGGGGTGATGTCTCTTCTTGAACAGCACAGCCTGTGTCTTCTCTGCGTTGATCTTTATCTTCCATCTAATGCGCCATTCTTCTATGTCTTCCGCTGCGTCTTGTAGATATCTTGATATGAGTCCTGGCTGTGTGCTCGTGGCTGATATCGCTGTGTCGTCCGCGTAGAGGAACATGGTAGTATTTTGGAGTTTCGGGATGTCTGCGGTATATATAGTGTACAGCAGTGGTGACAGTACCGCCCCTTGAGGTACTCCTGCTTCTGGGATTCCAGGCCTTGATAGAACATATCCCATCTTGATCCGGAACTGCCCTCCGCCGAGGTACGACCTGAGCAGTCCTGTCATTCCTGCTGTGAACCCTTGTTTTTTCATTTTGAAAATCAGCCCGGCGTGCCATACTCTGTCGAATGCCTTGGCGACATCTAAGAATATGGTGCCTGTAAACTGATTTCTTTTGAATCCTCTAGTGATTTCTTCGACGCTACCTTCGAACTCCCAAGTGCTAACATTTAACGGTTTTTGTTTTCCCTCTCCTCTGCGAACTATGTATATCATTGTACACGTATTGCGATGCCGTTCCGCCCATCTCATTATATAGACGTTATCTTCAAGCTTTCAATGAGTGAATAGTTTCAGGGTCGATATTTTTACCATCAACAGAGCATGAAATGTATTTTCGATAGTACCAAAAGCATTATTGTACATATGTAAATAAGTTGCTTGTTTCTGTTTCTAATGATAGAATAAACAGTGAGCTATTAGTCAGCATTTAATTTATGGACAACAAATTCCCCTTTCAAAGCTGAATTACAACTTGTCCAGGGTAACTTGATGAGCTTTTAATTCCAGAAATTAAGTTGTTTAATTTTCACTTATAAATGGGTCCGGCTAATTGTTTTCGGCCAAAGTCATACGTCTTAAATAATAGTAATAGAATTAAGAGAGTTGAGATTGGGATTAGAATTTGTGTTTACCCCCTCGGGTGTCTGAATCTGATTGACTTCAAATTTACGAATGTTAGGTTCAACAAAGATCAGTTTTGGTATTTGTTCTTAATTATATCACTGCACCGTATATCAATAATTTCCATTTAAAGTTCCAAGGCTAGGGTTTCAATGTCAGTATCAAAAGGATTTTGAAAAATCTTAATTTCATTCGCAATGACATCAAAGTCTGAGAAACGAGTATCAAAATTAATCTTCAAAGCACTAAAAGCTTCTATTGCAAAATCGACGGGAAACTCAGTCTCAGTAGTGTAGCTGAATATTTCACGTGTTTTAAAATGTGTGAAACATTTTTTACGTAATTATGATTGAAACAGTATTATTTACCACCGGAACGATTTGATATTAGTATATAAACAAGGGAGAAGCTGGTTTTATCCTTGGCATCTCAAATTCAGTTCGTTCATCAAAATGGTAACTCGGTAAGATGGCGATGCTTTTCATTCAAAAAAATTTCGGTCACTGCTCAAGTTCAAAAAAGCGCTGAAAGACTTTTCCGCAACTAAGCCAGTGTACGGCAGTATGATATGGTAAGTCATTTTCTCCCATCTCTTCAATAAACTCGCGGAATCGCCGGTGATTCAGCCCAGTCGATCTGATGAAATTAAGAACTGATATGACTGGTTTTAGAACTTCAGACATATCTAAAAATTTTCCGCCCAAGGTCTGTTTGTGAATGATATAATGTAAGATTAATGGTTTTGAACCACCATCATTTTCTGCAGCCTTTGATACAAGTGCAACCACTTCTTTATTTTTACCACACATGTTTATGCCTCCATCAGTTGTAATAGATTTCAAGTTTTTCCATCGAAGATTATTTTTATTAATGGCATTTTCAACTCCCTTAAAAATATCTTCCCCAATAGTCGTGCCATGAATACTATCAATATCAAGAAGTATATTTTGAAAATGTTTCGTTTCATAATGACGTTTAATGTTATATTCTTTGAGAACGGCTATTATTTCATTGCAAATCAAACATAGCGCCTTATTACTGAACTCAATCACAAAATATAGAAAGTTCCATTGATCTTTATATGTTCTGTTTATTTTTCGCATTCTTTTCCTTACTAGTAAATCACACACAAAATCAAATCAAAATACTGTTACGTAAGGGCGTTGGTTGGTTGGAAGATGTCTTTTTAACAGACTGACTCGCTTTCCCACCTCTAGCCTTTTTATACTCCAATTACTGCTATCTCGAAATGAGTGGAACACATCAGAACTTTCTCGAACCACTGAGGTTATTCACGAATGTTTAATTGTTACTGTGATTTCGAAAGTTCTACTTGCGCCATCTGTTAGCGATAGAGACTACCACTACCTACTTCCGCTTTTGACCACCAGATTCCGTCAAGTGGCACGGTCGTAACCATAGATTAGATAAAGTGAATAGATGGGAAACTCAATGATAATATTCTGAGTCGATGTGCTGTCATCTATCAAATTGGAGTGGTACTAAAATTCAATATGGCCGCTTAGCGCGAGCTTTTTGAAATTTAACTTTCTGCTAGTCGCGCAAAAATATAATGAAGAAAATCAAACAAAAAAAATAAATTGGCAAAATATTTGACTAGTTTCAAATCATAAAACAACCATATTGACTGTTTTGTGATTTGAAACTAGTCAAATATTTTGCCAATATATTTTTTTTTTGTTTGTTTGATTTTACTTCATTATATTTTTGCATTAATTTCAAACTTGAAATAAAATGCAATTTATTTTATTTTTTTTTATTACAGTAAATTAACGCCGCATCATCTCAAACAAATATGCATTTATACCATTTAAATAATTAAATATTTATTAAACAGATCTATGAAAAATGTTTTCTGTAACAAAATCGACATATATAAGTACTCAAGAACAATATAAAAGTTTTGCGACTTGGAGTGGCAATAAGTTTGAAAAAATTGAAGTTTTGGTGTCTTACTATCAAGGCGCATTTGAGTGTGGATAAAATTTGCCATATGCTTATTGAGTTGACAAGTTAAGTTGAGGAACATTTCTTCATCCGATATTGTTTTATTGATTTATTTGTACAGCACTGAATTTAACTTTCGAGGTTAAATTAAACTTACACACGTTTGGACCCTTGAAGATTGTGGGGTGTTTTCTTGTTTAAAGTCAATGGTATTGAATCAAATTTTGATATTGATTGCTAAGGCTCAAATATTTCATCGATCTACAGGGTATTTTGAAGGGCCAACATTTTCTTTACAACAATGATCATTTAAAAACTGAAAACAAAAAGAAATTTAAATAAACCAATTATTTTAACACTGAATCAAAACGAGTTTGTAAATTCCCTACTCGACCATTCGCTGTTGGTTTCTAATTAACAGTGCTGTTCCTAAAGTGGCGCTGGGAAACAGTAACAAAGCCTACACCGAACACGAGGCTAATGATCTTAGCAGTCGATGCCGATGACACCAAATTAAAAAAAAAGATTGTAAATATTACTTACCATTGATGCCAGTTCAAGATGCATATTTAATATGTGGTATAAATTGCATCACTACCAATATCTGGGAGTGCTTTATTGTTCGTTGCTGAAATCCATGTTCTCATCTCTTGAAAACATGCTTAAAATTGGAAGGTGATGAATCAAAATCCAATACACCTTCAAATGCAACAGCCAATTTTTCCAAGTTTGAAGTTTTGTTGACAAGCTGACACTAACATGACATTTCGATACGAGCGCCATCCCGTTAATTGGAGTGGTACTAAATTACCTTCCTCATGTTTTTCCATTTGAGTTACCAGCCCCTGGTCGTAACAATACACAATAGTAATTCAACTAGCGAATTTAGCAAGCGTATGCTCGCTCAAGGCGCGTACTGGGCGACTAGTCTAGAAATTATAGATAACTGCAGAAAAATTAAAACGGTTTTGGCCCTTGGAACTTACTGGAGTAATCAGTATGGCCCTAAGGTTGGAAAGTTTGGAGACCCCTGATATAGATTATTTTCTTTCTACAGTATATCAAAGGAGTGGATCTAAAAAGAATTGAGACAGCTGGGATTGGGATTAGAATTTGTGTTTAAGCCGACGGGAATCGAAATCTAATTGACTTAAAATTTACAAATTCGAATATCGAAATCATGTGTTTCGATATCTTAATTGGTAAGAGGAACGACGGCTACAGTCCGAACGTTCCAGGTTCCGACTTCTGGGCGTTGCACTCATTTTTTGAGGGTGTAATTTTCATAATTTCGTAGGAGGAATTGGGGATTTTTCTTAGATCTCAACTGATTTTTGTTACTTGACTTTTATTTAGAAAAATATTAAGCATAACGGATCTTATAAAGAAATTGTACTTCGAAACAGAATTTGTCATCTTTAAACTTTGTTTAAATAAAATTATTTTCCAGATTGTTTCTTTCTAAATAGGTTTTTGTCAAAACATGATGCTATCCAAAATTTATATTATTATTAATTTATGGTTTTATTTAAGTAGTTAAATAAATCCTCTTAAAATAGTCTACCGATTCTGAGGGAATTCCGTTTCAACTATAAGGATGACCCAAAAAACGGATTTTAGTATTGAATTATAATATAAAGTAGGTATATAAATTATAAAACAATAATTTTTAAGAAATATTATAAAAAGAACAGTTTCTTTAATACTGGGAACTGAAACAAGTGTTTTAAATTATTGTAGTAGTTATTTGTCCTACCTACTTATCGTTCTTGTACTTAATACAATTCTATAGGCGGCTTCCACCTGCTAAATTTAAAAACAGGATATATAATTTCAAGAGCTTGTGCGATTTTTTACCATACTTATATTTGGCAACGTTCTTAAAGTGTACAACTTCGACTATAATGTATAAATGTATTTAGATCTAAGTGATCAGCTCGAAAACCCGGAACGAACTGAGCTCTATTCATTGTGTATATGACCTTGGCGGCTTCAACTATATCTGTGGCAATTACTGTACTGTATTCTTTAATTTATCTTTATCTTAAAACGCACGTCAATATTTACGTGTTCTTAGGATGATTCTCACAAAATATACCCTTTCATGTTCAAATAGGGTTTAAACTAAAGAATAAATAATGCTTCTTAATATAATATGAATAAATACAGGGTGAATCAATCCTAAATTGATACTTTTTTATCCATTTCTAGAAGTTGTTAAACCAAGCATCTTATTCGAATAACTTTTTAAAAAAACGCAAAAATAAGAAAGATACAGAATTAAAAAATCTAAATCCTGGCATGGATTTGTCTATGAAAAGTTAAGCTAAATAGGAAGTCTAAATGTTTTTTTTTTCCTTTTTTTTTTTGGTGTTTCCTATGAATCGCGCAGCATTGTGTACATTATTGTAATTTCTTGCGAGCCCATCCTGGACCCAGAACTTTCATTAATTCGGCTCAACGGGCTAGGATTACGGGTGATTTGCGGTAACATCGTGAATGTCATGTAGGAAGACATATAAGACATGAAGTGCGTTTAAGTGAATTGTGACAACTTTGATCACATTATTTAAGTTAGACAGTTCGACAACTTCTATACACAGTTAAAAACATAGGATTTACCCTGTATATCAAAAATAACCTTAAATTTTAAGAAGCATATAATAGAGAGTCCGCTGATCTTATATTAAACTAGATGTTTATTATGTCATGGAGCCCTGTCATAACCCGATATAGGTACAAAAACAAAAACGGTCGATGCGCATGACAAAAAGGACTACAAACAAACTGTACATTTTTTAGCGTTCTACTTCTATCTGTTTTTGCACTGCAATTTAAAAATAAAAAAACTATAACGGATTTTAATAATGTTTTATAAGTTAGATATTATTTTATTTCGTATAATTTATTTTTTAGGTGTTAAAACTGAAATAAGAAGTCCAGGACTAGCAGAATCCGATTGTGTAGCCACTACTCAGGACTCTGCATCTTTTTACAGTACTCCAATAGACTTAGGAAATTTATATGATAAAGACTATCACCAAACTTATTCTGCAGCACATTCTTACTACAACAGGTAAAATTATATATTTTATTATATTATTGTTGAAATCTTGATTCACCGAAACACAGGTAATAATAACGGGAAAAGAATATTTCAGTTTTGCACAATACATGAGAGTTTGTTTTGGTTCAAACAGAATCGCCAAATTCAGTTCTTAAATACAGTGACGTATTCATTTTTTAAGAATACGTCGCGATAATAATCAACCTATTGAGCTGAACGAGTGTAATTCACTGATTCTGAATTAGTTCGTGAAAGAACCAAAACAAGCCTGATGTGGAATGAAAAACAGACGAAAACACGTTAAAAACACAGTAACAAATTTACAAGGGGGCACCGATTACGACAACAATGATTACGTAACTATTGCCAAAAAAAGGGGGAGAAAGGAATTGTCATTCCAAAAAAATGTTTATAGTTGGAAAACTGTCAGGATAGTGGAGCGTCTGTGCATTTGAGTCATGCCAGGATTGTACTAATACAATGAAAATATGCATATAATTAAATGCGTAATACTACCTTTGTTTATAAAGAGGAATAAACAATAAAAACCAGGTTGTGTATGTGATTGAGATAATTGAAACAGTGCTATTATTGTTATTATTATTTGCCGTGGCGTTCCGGGGTGACTTACATAAGATATATGTTGTAGTTTGAGAAAACCTCACCCTTCATACATAATAGGCATGATAATCCACTGGGTTTGGCTTAGAAATGTCGTATAATCATATAACAAACCATCATAGGTGCCGATAGTTGTTTATCTCCGGGGCGATTATCTCCAGGTGGATACGCACCATGACGTGGGCTAAAAAAAGAAGAACCTCACCTCTCTCCGAAATTCAATAGGTATTTGGGGATTATCAGCCAGACTTTGACGAACAGTCAAATGCGCCCAAGCCAGGGATCGAACCACGATCTCGATACCTTTACTAATAAAGCCACCAGAGCACATATCTATCACAGTAGAATTGGCAAATATGAAGACATCAATTCCCACATTAGTAGATACACACATTCTCCCCTCTTTCAACTCTTTCAACTTTCCCTAAAGCCACCAATGAAGCATCGGTGTGAAAGACGTCACGCTAAAGTAAAAGTGGCAGGTATTGAGGCATAAACTTGAAGTTCCAAGTTCGATCCCTGGCTTTTTAAATTTTTCTTTGATTTATTTTCACCTTGGGGTTGTGGGAGATCGCTTAATTGCTTAGGGTAATTGGGGTTTTCAGTTTCACATTTACAAATGCAGCCTTTAGTTTTCGGATTTTTAATAATTTTCTCCCTTTTTCTAAATACATCTATCGTGTGTGGGCAAAGGAGTATAAGTCAAGATTTTGGATAAATTAGTTTCAGTCATCTATAATTAGTGTAAAACAAGGGATAAGTCAATAATTTCTATTAGGGTTGCTATTAAACTTGGACTTCATATAATATAAATTACAAAAATGCCGTTTTTTTGGTGGGAAAATCAGTATAAGTCGACTTATAAGACATATAACATAGATTTACTCAGCTTCTAAATTTTTGACTTATACTCCTTAGCCTACCCACGAATTGAGTAGAAACGCCGCACTTAATGCTCATGCTCAGAGTATACTCTTGTTTATTCATACTCTCCAATATGTGTGTTTGGTGTTTGTTTCTACGTGATTTTTTTTATTTAATTCATTATATTGTGTGCTCCCACATAAAAAATATGTATTTAAAAACAAATATTTTTAATTATTTTTCAGTATACAAACCGGTTATGGATCAACAAGTTCCGCGACTCCTTACATAAACTCCGCGTCTTCTTTTTACAACAGCTCTTCGTATCCGTACTCTGGTCTTAATTCAACAAGGTCTCTAAATCCAGCTTGTAAAGTCAGCGCTGGTTATATAGCATCTTCATATTCGTCACCAGCTTCTCCTTTTAATACAGGACAGTCTAGTCAGTATTCTTCCTACGCTGCCTATACTGCACCCGGAGCATCAAGTTTCACGCAAGGCTTTTCAACGCAAGTAAGGAAATCATTAACTACTAGACATTAAAAATTAGAAAGTGACATGTTTATTGTTATTTTTTAGGGAGTGGATTACAGCTCATATGGAACTACATACCCTGATACTCAAACTTCACAATTTGCTTCAAGTTATTACGCTCAAAGTTATTCTCCATACGTAAGTTCGCCGAGTTCTAGTGGGAGCTTAGGGACGACATCTTATCAATTAACATCTCCTTCAATATTAGGTTAGTAAACTTAGTTCTAAGTACAAATAAATTTAGTTAGTATTTTAGTGACTGTAGTTGTAAATAAATTAAAATAAATAGTGTTTTAAAATAAATAAACGTTACATTGGTGTCATGAGTTGAAATACAATAAATAAATAGTGGACAGAAATCGCTAAATAACTGTGTGATTTAAAAGTGGCTGAGTTGCGCCGAGAATTAGAAGAACGTGAATTGGAGACGATAGGAAAGAAAGCATAGCTGACAGAGCGGCTTAAAGAAACAATAGAAAGTGAAGGTTTGGATCCGTAAACGAGAAATGTATCTATTTTCGAATGATATATCTTCTATAATATTTCTTTCTTAGAAAATAAAGTTTTTTCTGTTGTTTCTTCTATAAAAAAAGATATCTCATATTTGGAAAATAAAGTTTCCTTTGATATTTCTTCCTTTGAAGAAAATGTATTTTTTGAAACGTCTTCTACACAAAACGAAATTTCTTCTGATTTGGAAAGTAAGATCTCTTAGAACAAAAAATTTTTTCCGATATGGAAAGTAAAATGCCCTCTATAGAAAATAAGGTTTCTTCTGATATTTCTTTCTTAAAAGAAATAAAAGAAAAGGTATGTTCTGATATATCTCCTAATTTATTTTAGCAGAAAACCTTGTATTTCGTGGAGAATTGTTTTTTTTTAATGCAAAATGCTTTCGGCATAAGGCCATCTTAAGTGCTTATTGTCTACCACAAGCATATCCAAAAAGGTTAAAGGTCATCCTGTATCCGAACATTAATTGTTGGATTGTCTCACCTTGCTAAATAGTCATGGTTAATGTCTTTGTATTTTTGATTTGTTATTTAAATTAAAAGTTATTTATGTACCATCTTTTAGTAAATTTAAATTATCAAATTATTGGTATACGTGCCAAAGATATGATAAAACCCAAAATGTACACTAATTTCAAACAATTTCGGTACAGCAAAAAAATAAAAAAGCATTTATTGTTATTTTTTTATTAATAAATTAACCATAAATTATTTTACAATAACCGATAAATAAAAAAAAAGTCCATTTTTTTACACAAAAAACAGGTAAAAGAGAACCTAAAATAATTATTATTACATAACATACACTGCTCAACAATTGAACTGGATAATTGCTAAAATCCTGAAATTTATATGTAAACATATTTTAAAAAAAAATTTGTCTTATCAATAAACCGTATTCACAGCGATTATTTTTTGCATGTTTATTGTTCGTTGTCAATGCTCTTAGCCCTTTCAGGAAAATTGCAGGAAGGTTGTTTAAAAATCGTAAAGTATCAGTTGTGCAGAAGAGCTTGTTCTTACTTTGTTCTGTTACTTTTATCAATAATTTTGTGTATTCGAGTAAAGAATATGCCGCTACGACGATTAGGCAGTACAACTGCAGCAATTAGTGCGTTGGATAGAGGAAGGTTTGTCCCAAGAAGAAGTCGCCACGCGGCTGAATGTGTCTCAGAGAGTCGTAAGACGTGCTTGGAATCGGCATCGAGTAACTGGGTCTGCAGCGTACACACATGGGGAAGGACGAGAACGAGCTACAACTCGTGCTCAAGACCGCTTTATAGTCCTGACTGCGAGAAGAAACCGCACATTTATGGCTTCAAGAATTATAGTCCTTCCATTATCAATTGCAGAACACAGTTATGTGGGGAATCATCAATATTTAATATATACGCACGGTACTCATGCCAAATTAAGAAACGAAAAATAATATTTACTCCCCTTATACAAAGCGGTAAATATTAAACGAACCATCAGTACCAATGAAAACATCGAATCGTAAACTTAAATGCACTGTATTGGCCGAAGGTTTACGGAAGGCAAGTGTTTGAAAATATTCCTGGAAAACAGTCTGCGATATCAGTGGAGTACTGTCGTGTGGTGTGTTTTGTATGTGTGGTTGGTTTAATTTAAATTTCTTTTAATAAATATAAATATGGTGTTCTTTAGACCATGCACGAATGAAGAAAATGAAATTGCACAGTGTAGTGAGATTAAAGACAGGTATGACTTTATCGATAAGGATTTAGATATACACAACAAGTTATTTTAAATATATTCGAATGTTTAAAAAAGGAAAATATTCAGCAGTCTGATAATGCGTTCATAATAACAATTGCTGAATTAACTAAAGTAAATAAATTTTCCGTTTATCCGGTAGTCACGAAAGGGGTTGCTGTGGATTATTCATAAAACCGAAAAACATGTAAAGAAAAACTGAAATCAGTTGACAGAGCTACCCAAGATTTTATACGAAGGACAATTTATAGTTTATATAAGGAGAACAGGGTTCCGACATTGGAAGTAATACAGCAAAAGGTCGCAGATTTTCCAGGATACCCTTATACCAGTTTGGAAACATTGCGTCAAGTTTTGTCAGCATGTGGTTTTAAACACAAAAAATTAAATAAACAGATGGCAATCTCCGAATCGTCAAGGATAGTTCAATGGCGGCAAGATTATTTGCGTCAGATAAAAGGCTACATAAGTTCTAATAGACACATAATTTATCTAGATGAAACATGGTTTGACAGTCACGATGTAGTAAATTTCGGTTGGGTTGGCAGTAGTAAAAATTGCTGTTTGAATGGGCCATGTTCTAAAGGGAAACGCATTATAATAGTACACGCTGGAAGCAAAGACGGTTTCGTGCCTAATGCTTTATTATTATCTGCTAAACAAATTAAAAACTGTGCAGCTGATTATCATGAAGATATGACAGCAGAATTATTTGAAAAACGGTTTAATGGACAGCTTTTACCTTACATTCCACCACAATCAGTAATCGTTATGAACAACGCATCCTACCACTCGCGGCAACTCCTTAAAATACCAAATAGTAGCAGTAAAAAAGCTCAAATTTTAGCTTTTATGTCTGAAAAAAATATTCCCCTATTCCTGCCAGTGATAGTAAAAAAGGACCAACAAACAAAGAATTGCTTACTGTTATTAAAGGTATAAAGTTAGAAAAAATGTATTATATTGACAAGCTGTGCAAATTCTTCTCAGACTACCTCCTTACTATTGCATATTTAACCCTATAGAGTTAATATTGGCAAACTTAAAATCAGAATTACGAAAATGTAATCAGTCTCCAGAACTGAGTAAAGAAGTTGTAGAACTCGTAAAGAAAGTTCTAGCAGCAGACCGCCAAGAGCTTTGGAAAAACTGTGTTGAACATGTTATCAAAGAAGAAGATGAGTATGTAGTATTACCCTCTTTACAACCCATCATAATTCAACCAAATGATGACTCTAGTTCAGAGGATTCAGACTGCCATGATTATTTATAAAGATACTTTAGAATTGAATTGTTTTTTTTTCTTTTGTTTTATTTGCAAAGAATTTATTTTCCTTTATGGTTTTTTCTTTGAAATTTCGTTTTCCAGAAAAAGAACTAATGGGGTACAAAAAGGGTTCAGTTCACGTCTGGTACCCTGTTTAAACCAAACGCCCTTACAGGCAGGTACACTTTACTCGCTTTTTTACGTTTTATAATTTAATATTTAGTTGTAGCAAGTTAACGAGCTATAATGATTTTTTTTAAGTCCAAGTAAGATTACAATTAAGTGCATCTGTTTAAATAAGGGCGTATAATAACGTCCAATTTATAATTATTCGATTTCCTTTTAACGAATACTTTCTTGCATATGATATATATTAAAAGTATTAAAATAAATTTATAAAATGAGGTAGGTATCTACGCCTATGGCAGATCAAACAAAATTGTCGGTAAAGGTTCCGAACGAGTTTTTATGATCTGCAATTGATAATGGAAGAACTATAACACCTTCTTTAGACAAGCTACTGGATGAGTAATTTCTGGTCAAACTATCAGAAGAAGGTTGCATGCTAGACGTCGCGCCACACACCCAAGACTGACGACGGAGCAGCGTGCATACCGATATCGGTGGGCGGAAGAATACAGTTTTTGGACTTTTCAAAATTGGAGGCACTGCCTCTTTACCGACGAGTCCAGATTTCGTTTGTATACGTGTGATGGCCGAATATTGGAATGGCGAGAAAGAGGACAGCGATACAATGAAAATTTAATCGCCCCAACAACTCTTTTTGATGGTGATCAGTTTGCGTCTGGGGAGGCATATGTTATAATGGTCGCACTGATTTAGTGGTCTTAACTAATGAGACAATGACTACCATATGATATCGGGACAGGGTTATATAGCCGATAATTGTACCATTTTTTGGTGCAATAGGTGAACGATTTGTTTTTATTAACGATAATGTTCGTCCTCATCGTGCGAGAATTGTAAACGATCGCATAGAACATCATGGAATTACAAGAATGGATTGGCCACTCTGTTCACCAGATATGAATTGTATCGAGCATGTTTGGGCTGAAATGTCTAGGCGATTAAACCGAAGTCAACAGCCTACCCAAACCTCAGAACAGTTAGGTAATGAGTTGCAGACAATTTGGGAAACCAAACCTCAGCAATTTATCAATAATTTAATAGAGAGCATGCCAAAACAGGTGACAGCACTAAGACGAGCCAGGGGAGGTCCAACAAGATATTAATTTTTATAGGGATTTTAATTTTCCTGTAATTTTCAATTAAACTGTGTTTTTTTTTTCAGTTATACATATAATCAATATGTTACATGATTATTTTATTTTATTTTAAATTATTGACAAAAAAAAAACAAAATTTTAAAATATCCACTTCAATTGTTGAGCAGTGTACAATAGTATATTATTTACTAAGGGACTAAAGTGCAACTTTTAATCCCGAGAGGGATTAAAACGCACTTTAGTATCGAGGTAAATACGCGACTAAAATTTACAGGCTCTATCAAGCTAGGGGGCACTCTGTGGCGGCACCATACAAGACCTGGTGGGTTTTTTGTAGCTTTTTTGTAGCTTTTTTGTTGCTTTTTTGTTACGCTATTTGCGAATTTGTAGCTTTGCCCAGGTCCGAAAAAACAGCGGATCCGCTAGCTTGAATTTCCATAAATTC